GCGCACACAGACAACTGGTAGATATTTATGGAATTAATTAATATTTTTTGTTAGAAATTGGGAAGAAACTGTCTTAATTAACTCATGAAATAGTGTTTTCAAAATGTGATCAATGGCCGTCCTGAGTGAAGATCATTAGGGGTGCTTGCTACTGGAGAACTCTGAGGCTCACCTAAGACCCATGAAATCAGAAGCTCCCCAGGTAAGGCCAGAGGGGAACTTGTCAGTTCTCGCTGTAAGACCCTGCACATGATTTGACCTGTCATGCGTGGTGTCTGCGGGAATGAGAAACAAAAGCTTTGCTCTTAGTAACTACAGCTGCTCATGAAGCCCATACCCATGTAGGGCTTGGTGCCAGCCATGGTGGTGATCTGCGTCTCCTTGGACAGCACTGCGGCAATGTTGAAATCTGTGATGTGCACATGCCCTGTGGAGAGAGAAGGACCACAGAGAACATTACGTTCCATTCAATCCAGTGACACAACTGTGCTTCTAATTGACAGTATCTGGAACCTTAGTCTGTTAGTTCTTATATGCTAGCTGCAACTGGGTACAAGCAATAAAAGCTCAAATATTCCATCTTCATGGCCAATATGTTTTTAAACCAGCAACCCTCCAGCAGCCAGAACATCATATGCAATAATTAATCTGTGATTATAAACTTATAGTTTGACCTCCGAAAGTTTTAAACTTAGAGGTTAAGAGTTTATGCTCTGGTAATTCTACTTAGGCAGTTTTTGTCTGTTGGCAACATTTTAAGTTGATTTAACCTGTGAGTATCATGAGGGAGATAGCCAAGAGCTATTCAAATTATCAAATTTCTAAGCATCTCTTATGGATTTTTTTAAAGAAGTTAACATTGTTACTACAAAGCTGGTACAAGTATGGAGACATATATTTATTTCTTTGACAAGAAAAGTCCTTTTTCTCCTTGCTTTTTCTGAAATATCATTACGCTTTTTTGTTTTGTTTTGTTCTGTTTGGTATGATAGTTCAGGTTGTCCCCACCGATCCCCAACACAAATAACTGTTGTCAAAGGAAAGCAAGGGGGAGATCAACTCTTATTTTTAAAAGGAATGTGTAAAGAGCACTAGACTGGAAGCCAGGAGATCTGGGGTCTGCCCTGAAATCCTGCCCCTCACACATACTAGACTTTAAGTCCTTTTTCTAGTTTGAACCTAAATCTCCCTTTATAAAAAAAGAATGGGTGGACTAGATGATCTCTAGAGACTTTTCAGCTCTAACACTCGTGGTAATATAGGGTGGCTCTAACACTTAAGTTTGGCAGGGAACACAACGCTACAAAGTGCTCTAGGGTACTTGCATTTACAGCTAGAAGGAAGAAAAGGGCAGTTCCAGAAGCTCAGGCAGACAAGCCTGTTATGTTAGCTGGACAGTCATCTGCTCTCAGAGGTTCCTGAAGTGTTGGCATTTCCTTTTACATGCGTCTGCAGTTATGATGCGATATGAGTGTAATTGGAGGGGATGTCATCTGATTCTTCTCCTAGGGCCCACAGTCCATACTGAACGTCACTGTCTGTTCCCTGATAGCATCCAGCCTGCTGATAAAGATAAATCTCAGTGCCTTCACCATCAGGGTTTTATTTTGTGCAGAAATGTTTTGCTTTTGTCTGTGCGATGTTACTTGAATAAAGTAAAAATAGCACTCATCTAGTTACAAGTTAAGGTATTCTTGCCTGAATGGCACCAATGGATCACTTTCATAATTCACTCGATCATAGTACAGGTTGTCTATTTTTCTTTCTCTCTTTCTCCCAATGGGTCATGCTGAAAGCATTGGACCAGAGGTTCACAAGATTTGGTATAAATTAAGTGAGCCTGCAGACTCTGTGGTTAAGAGCCTGTTTTCTGGAGTCTGACTGCCTGGCATCAAGTCCAGGTTCTGCCATTAACTAGCTATGAAAAAGTAACTTATCCTCTCTGTAACATTGGAATGATATACTAGTCTTCTTATGAAGTTACTGGGAAGGTTAAATGAAATAATGACTATGGGAGACAGCACAGCATTTGGCAGAAAGGAAGTGTTCAGCTGTTGACATCTGTCATGTTCAGAAACTTCAGTGTAGTTTTGCAAAATACACATGCCTGGACTTCACTCTCCCGAGACTCCAATTCAATAGGACTGGTAGGGGAGCCAGGCATCTGTATTAAAAACAACAAACTCCACAAGTGATTCAGGTGAGCAGCCAGGCATGTAATCCTCTACTTAAGCCTGAATAGATTTTATAAACTGACTCAGACCTAAGATTATCCACACTTATATAGAAGTAGAAGAAGTAGAAGGTTTTAGAGCCACTTGATTCCTAAAGTGTGGTCTCCAGCCCAGTAACATCAGTATGATCTGGGAACTTGTTAGAAATGCAAATTCTTGGGCCCTGCTGTAGACTGGATGACCCCCCAACCTCATTGAAACTTAAATCCCCACTGTAACTGTTGAGGGTGGAAAATCCTATTATGGTAATTGAAAGGTGGAGCCTTAAAGAGATGATTAGATTATAGAACCTTGCCTTAGTGAATGGGCTTAAAATGGTGGTCATGGGCTTGGTTCTGAGGGCTTTAAAAGAAGAGCACATGAGAGGTCAGTGTCTCTCTGCTCTGCCATTTTCTGCCAAGTGAGACCCCTGAAGTACTGTCACCACCAAGACCCTCACCAGCTGTGTTCCTTAGACTTTGGACTTGCCAGCCTCTGAAACTGTAAGCAGTAAATTTCATTTACTTATAAATTACCTATTTCCAGGTATTTTGTTATAAGCAACAGAAACAGACTGATACAGGCCTCATCCCAAACTTTCTGAATCAGAAGCTCTGGGAGAGTTTAAACGAGCCCTCCAGGTGATTCTGATATTCAATAAAATTTGAGATCACTGTTTTCAAAGAAGGCCTGGCTTTGTAGAAGGTTCTGTAAGTACTCATTACATATCTGTTGAATTCAGCTGAAAGAATGTTGAATGTTGAAGTATTACTTACATTTATATGATTAATTTAATTTTCAAGCTGTTGCACAAAGTTTCTCCTTTAGCCCAGTGAGGTAGTTCCTATTTTATAGACAAGTTGTTTACAGCTAAGTTCAGAGTACTCAGAGGTAGCAAATCTGGGATTAAGATTTAGAATTTCGTCTATGGCCCTTTGGTGGGTTATAAACCTCCCCAAAACTGTGCTGTATCATAAGACCAGAGAACTCAATAACCTAAAACAACCATTTTCTGATTGGCTCAGTTTTTCCCCTGCCAGGATGACTAGTAAAGGATGGAGAGGAGTTATGTGAGGGCCAGGATCTACTGGAACTTCTAGCCTGCTGCTTTGGAGCTGAACAATGGAGGCAGAACTTCACTGGTCTCTCAGCCTCAATTCCAGGTCCAGATGCTGCTGTACTTCATTTCTGCTTACCATGGTGACCCATTTGTTGAGTTCTGCTCTGTGCTGTGAAAATGAATTTGCTAGGTGACCAAGGAGAGTTCAGTTTCCTGCTGCTTGAAGGATACAGGAATTGCCTTGAGAATGAGAGACCTCTGTGGCTTCTTCCATAAGCCCAGACCCTGAGCGAGCCTTAGCATAGATTTTCTCAGCCTCAACACTACTGAGATCTTGGACCTGGTAATTCTTTGCTGTGTGCATTGCAGGATGTTTAGTAGCATCCCTGGTCTCTACCCACTAGATGCCAGTTAGCACCTCCCACTCCTAGCTGGAATCCTGATAATCAAAAATATCTCCAGACATTGCCAAATGTCCCCTGCAGGGAGAGGCAGGTGAGCACAATCACCCCCAGTTGAGAACCACTGGCCTAGTGTGAGGTCTTTGAGGTCCAAGGCTCAGGACTTCCTGATTTAGCACCCTAGGAGAGGATTTTGCCTTTCCTTTTTACCTTTGTTGCACGAGACAGAGGATCACATTATAAATCTCGATTCATCTTACTGAGTCACTGAATTCAGCTGTCATTGTTATCGTTATTTATCCTCTTTCTCACTGTGCCTGTGCTCAGTCTGAGGATCTTTCTCATCAACACAGTACTCTAGGACACTATAACCAGTCAGTTGGCACTGCCCCCAACTTTTAAAACTCTCTTCTCTACTTGAAAGTATTGAGTATGTACACCACATTTTTCTGGGATGCTTGTTAAAAATGCATATCCCTAGAAACGACCTGAGATTCAATAAATCTGATTATGTGAAGATAGGGTACAATATTCTGCACTATATATATATATATTTTAAATGATGTTGTCCACTTAATTTTTAGGCACATTTTGGGACTCTGCAAGAGGGAAGCTGTTAAGGTAGAAGGCTCAGTTCTTCCTCATACCCCAAACTAAGTTTTTACCCCTACTCCTTGTGACTAGGGATGATATTAAGAAATCTAAATTACAGATGATCCCATAATTGTCATTTTCTCTGATATGCCAGGCAGACAGTACTGTTCCTCTAAATGCAGCATTTATTTCCTAAATAATTTAAGAAAAGCACAAAAATTTTAGACACTATGGAATTGATAAAATTGGATGGGGCACTTAAATTGGTAGGATATGAAAATACATATCAGGACAATTGGTTTATGAGTCATCCAAGACCTAATGCCATCTTGGCTCTGAACTAGTGAATGATACATTTGGGGACAACAGTATCAGGTATGCTCTAAATTAAAAACATTTTTTAAGTCAAATTTAGACATACAAGGAATGTTCATTCAGGTTGTGGATTCTCCATTTTACAATCGGTTCCTTTAAATGTCACTCTGTTCTGATGAATGTAAACAGTATGAATCAGTACGAATAAGAGAAAGTTTCTGCCTGTTACTGAATGGTGCTGAATTTAAATCTAAGCATCGTGGAGGGATACACTGCTGACTTGGAGGGATGGCCCTTCAGGAGTGAAATATTATAAATGATAGAGAGGACAAATGAGGTCTTCAAAAAAGATCTCCACATGGAAAATCACACCAACAGATACTCCAAAAGGCAGGCCCTGATTTGTGGTTCAGCTGATTTTCACAAGACCAACTCAACATAATGGGCTGGGGGGAGGTGGGTATCAGGAATTCATTCATTTAAAAGTGGTTAATTATGGTCCCTGAGCAATGTCTGAGTGTCTGAGTTTCTCAGCTTCTGTAAACAAAAAGTAAATAACTTCAGACAATGTTCAGAGAATGGCTCTCAATCTTTTTTCTTTGTTTGCTTCTATCCCATTCATATGCAATCCTTCCCAAAGCAATTTTTCCCTTATTAACTGTAGGGATTCTCAAATTGTGTTCAGGATGAGAATATAAAACAGAAAAGCTTCCTCTTAATTCACTTACAAACCAAATAACTTGAGAATTAAAGGTGTCATTGTAAGTAATACTCCAGATAACAGGTGTAGACTGGGATAACTGTTCACACTCCCTGAGCAACAGAACCCCAGCCCCACCAGGAATAAAATACCAGGGACGGTGGCCTTAGCCCCTTACCCACATGGAGGAAAGCAGGATGGGCCATTGGGAGTATAGTCACCTGAGGATTAGGGGTTAAGCAAAAGAATTTAAACACAAGATCTAACAAGCCGACAAGCAGAATCTTTGGCTACCACTTCCGAAATCAAAATAATTATTTGGGAAAGACAGTTAAGTACCCAGCTTTTACATGCTGCATCTGATATAGATTTGGTACATTTCAGATATGCAGCAGCTTAGACAAACTACATAAAAGTCCAAGCTTCCTTCCCAAGGGGAGAAAGCCACCACTATCTCATGGGACTCATACTAATATTTAACTTCTATTAAGTGATTTCTTTGTGACAGACATTGTATCAAACACTTTATAAGTATTAGTCTTTACAATGACCCTAAGAAGTAAATATGCTTTTAGCCCCTGAAGAAACTAAGACACAAAGTTTAGGCAGCTCGTTGAAACTCTCAGACCTAGAAAGTGAGTGAATTGGGTTTTGAACTAAGGGAATCTGGCTCCAGAATCCGTGCATTACACAGTCTTTCACAAGGGTAGTCTCTAAGTGTAATTAAACTTGAAGATTAATTGATTTCCTCACCTTTTTCCTAATCTACAATCACCAAGTTGCCAGGCAAATGAGGAGGGGGAGGAAAATGAATGAAGGAGAACAGGATGACTTCAGGGTAGAAACAAGATGAAGCCATGTCTGTGACCTGAGATTAAAACACTGTTCTCTGAATAGAAGATAAATCTTGAGAAGTTTTGGGTTGATAGGACCTATGTGTGTCCACTCAGGGCCTCTACAAATGGTGCAGCAACAGGTGTCAGCAACAGACGTCATGCACACGGACACCTGGCTGAGGGGGCAAGCAAGGACTAAACCCAACCTGCATTCTGCTTCACCTGTCATGTGCTGTCAGAAAGCTGTGGTGGGCAGAAGGAGTGCTTTTTCCTAAGTTGTACAAAGGTAGCTTCTATAGGATTGAAGAGACCCTGTCCACAATTATGAAGCTCCATAGAGTTTATTAAACCAGCCTGAGAGAGGATTCTGCTTCCTATTTAAGGCAGGGACAGCAGGTGTTTTAATGAAAGTCACCTTCATGCTAAGTCTCACATTGCTCACATTTCTGAGATTCAGAGAATCTGTTCCCAAATGTCAGAAGCAGTAAAGGTAAGGAAAGAATGAGGCACTGGAAGAAAGTGAAAAAAATCTTTTTAGACAGTCCATAAATAAATAATGACCCTGAACTTTGAAATTACAGATCATGCACAAAAGTGTTTCTTAGCCCTCTGAGCACAGGTAGAGTCAGGCAAATTGGGTTTAAAACTCAACTAGATAAATAAATAATGAGGAATGTTGGTGGTACTTGAAGTTTCAGTCCCACTTGCAAATGCTTTTTGTAAAAACTGAATGAATAAAGAGTTTTGCAGATTTAGGACCTTCTCATCTAGCAGCTTTCTAAATACATACAAGGATCTTACTGCCACTAACATTTATAACATGCAGGCTGTGTGATCTACAGGTCTTCCCTGATGCACCAATAAATCCAAATGTATGTGAAAAAAAATATTAGAAAGATGATACATGGTAAATCATTGTTGGCAAAAGCTTGTTCTGAAAGATACCTTTAATCAGTGTTTCTTGAATCTCAGACATTCACTTATCAACTTCATGATTATTGGCATACACTATATCACTTTCATATCTGAGTACCACATATACTTTTATCTACTTTATCCTTTTGTTTAAACTGACTGATTCATTTTAACTAAAATAGTTTGAAAAGAAAACTTGATATCTCCTCTGAAAATGTAAAACCAATTTGCCTTCCTAAGAAGAAAAGCAAAAAAGTAGAAACAATAACAAAATGTCACTAATTTCTAGGCTCTAAGCTTGAGGTTTTCTCTGCTTTTATGAAAAAAGGAGGTGATTACCTGTTACTAGATATTATGGCAAACTAGCACAAAAAATTGTGATGTTTTTCTTGAAAAAAAAAGTAGTGGAAGAAAATTGAGTAGAGAATAACTATTATTAGGCCAATTCAATGTTATTTAAGGGTATATTGTTGTACTATGCCACTGCATAGTACATATAAATAATAAAGTCTCCCCAATTGTCCCTTCTACCCATAAAATGGAGTTTGTACATATAACTCAACTGAATCAAGCAAGACACCCTTTACATGTGTGATACTTCTTTGCTCAGGATAATCAGCTTGTTCTATATGCATGCCAAGTAATTGATTGCAAACAAATCATTTACTTACCATGTTCATCAAGTAAAATATTGTCAGGCTTCATGTCCCTAAGGGAGTAAAAAGAAAAGAGAAAGTTGCTTATAATAAAACAAACAGAACTAAAGGGTAAAGGCAAAAAATGGTCAAGAATCCTAACTAGGATTGAAAGAATGTACTAGCCCCTCATCACCCACAATCTCATTCAGTTCTCACAATGAATCTATGAGACAGTTAGCATTAATAGTCCCAATTTCTAGATTAGAAAATTGATCCTTAACCCAAGGTCACAGAGCCAGTAAATAGAAGAACTGGGCTCTCAACATGTGTCTCTCATTCAAAAGTTCAGACTCAGTTTCTATAGCATATTATATCTAAGCATGTAAGTATTGGTTTATGGGATCACATGGGACATTTAAATTGCCATAAGGTAGCATTAATAGCATTAATCATTATTTCCCCATGTAACTCCAGAGTTACACAGATGATGTGAACTTAAAAACTACAAAATGGGGAAAACATGGTCTGTAATGTGGTTATACTTTAAACTTTCAGAAATTAGGATTTTTTTTAGGATGATGTTATAATGCCTCTAGTTACTTAATAATTATTATTACTGGGATACTTAATTAAAGAATTTGGACCAATCTTCCAAGTGCTGGTGCAGCATGATGACTATAGTTAACAATACTATATTATATACTGAAAATTTGCTAAGAGAGTTGATTTCAGGAGCTGTTATCAACACAAAAGGGAAAAAATAACTATGTGAGATGGATACGTTAATTTGTTTGACAGTAATAATCATTTCACTATGTACATGTATATCAAAACATCATGTCATACACCTTAAATATATACAATTTTTATTTTAAAAAACTGAAAAAAAATCCATAGAAGTGAACAAAACCCACCCTCTTCTAACAAAGGGAGTGGTTGGATAGTAAATACTCAGAAGAACAGCTGATGGAGTTTTCAAAGTCCTCACGAAATGAATGTTATTGTAAGCAGTACTCCTCAATGAGAGAAGTTTATAAGAGCCCTCACGTCTCCATTCTCAGATTTTTACTATCCTTCCCAAATGTACCATTAAAGCCCTTCAGCCTAAATTCACAAAAACCATTAGGGAAGAAATTTTGACACAGGTTTTAGAAACACATTTTCAGCCTAGTCAAGTGGCTTTTATGTTGCCAGAATAAAGTGACCTTAATCTTTGACAGACCAAGGATGTCAGTGTCCTCTTCTCTTGAAAATATTAATAAGTAATAAGTCCTTTACCTACCAAAAGTATATACCACACCCAACATACAGATGCATAGATGATCTCATGAATTTTGAGTACCTTCTCATTTAGTTCACTAGGTTGTTAAAATTAATTCCGGATTCATAGAGTAATCATCTGTGGCAAATTTTGTTTGGTGCAGTGTACAATTTACTATAAAGATAGTATGAGGGAGTTTCAAATTACATGTTTCTGCAGCTAAACTCTCATAATGTTGCAGATTCCACCCCAAGCCCTTCAATGGATCCCATTACTTCAAGAATTATCAAGTCTAAACTCACTCATATGGCATAAAGGCCCTTTCATAATCTGACTTCTGTGCTCCAGTCACAGAGAAATACATGGGGTGCCCCCAATGTTCCTTGTATCCTGTCATCTCCATGCCTGCTGTGCCTTTGCCTGAAACACACTGCACTTTACACCTCTGCACTCAGACAACGCAGATTAATCCTTAACCTCATAGCTCAGATGCCACTAACTTTAGGGAACCATCCCTGATTTTCCAGTTCTGGATCAAATGCCCCTCCTGTGTATTCTGACTACACTATATACTTCGTCCATCCTAATGTTTATCATGCATATTTATTTTTTCTCCAAGTGGAACATGAATTTCTTGATATCAGGGGTGTTTTCTGGTTAACATCATGTTGCATCACATTGGCTTACAGAGCCTGGTCGTCGGTAAATGAACCGACACCCAGAGATATTCTAGTGCACTCAAGAAGGCTGATCCTAACAGTGCACACCAGAGTGCTATGGCACACCTTCAAACACTGTCTGCAGTTTGAAGCTAGAGATAAATCAGGCCTCACGCCCTCTCCACCTCTTTCAGATCTGCATCCAGTAAGCATCAGCTGGTGTTTGCCTGGCAAGAAAGAGGCTCATGGGAGCCCTGCCCAGGAAGGAAGAGAATTGGGTGTGGCATGACGAGTATAAAGATTTTCAGCCTGAGTTTATGAGGACC